AGTGTGCAGTGTAGTATAGTGTAGTGTGGTAGTGTGCAGTGTAGTGTGCAGTGTAGTGTAGTAGTGTGCAGTGTAGTGTGCAGTGTAGTGTGGTAGTGTGCAGTGTAGTATAGTGTAGTGTAGTAGTGTGCAGTGTAGTGTGGTAGTGTGCAGTATAGTGTAGTGTGCAGTGTAGTATAGTGTAGTGTAGTAGTGTGCAGTGTAGTGTGGTAGTGTGCAGTGTAGTGTAGTGTAGTAGTGTGCAGTGTAGTGTGCAGTATAGTGTAGAGTGTAGTGTAGTGTGCAGTGTAGTGTGGTAGTGTGCAGTATAGTGTAGTGTGCAGTGTAGTGTAGTAGTGTGCAGTGTAGTGTGCAGTATAGTGTAGTGTGCAGTGTAGTGTGCAGTATAGTGTAGTGTGCAGTGTAGTGTAGTAGTGTGCAGTGTAGTGTGCAGTATAGTGTAGTGTGCAGTGTAGTGTGGTAGTGTGCAGTATAGTGTAGTGTGCAGTATAGTGTAGTGTGCAGTGTAGTGTGGTAGTGTGCAGTGTAGTGTAGTGTGCAGTGTAGTAGTGTGCAGTGTAGTGTGGTAGTGTGCAGTGTAGTAGTGTGTAGTGTGTAGTGTAGTGTGTAGTGTGCAGTGTAGTGTAGTGTAGTAGTGTGCAGTGTAGTGTGCAGTGTAGTAGTGTGCAGTATAGTGTAGTGTGCAGTATAGTGTAGTGTGCAGTATAGTATATTGTGTTGTGTAGTGTGCATCAGGGATGGAAATGAACTTTTTTGTCCACCGGCCACTGTGGCTGGTGGATTTCAAAATCTACCAGCCACTCAATGTTTTTACCAGCCACTTTCTTGTTTTTAACCGACAATGTGTAACTGCATGTGAAAATTAATACTACAAGAATACTTAAGCAGTTTATTTAATCTCAAGTCTCAATGAAATACTGACATTTTCTCTTTCTCTCACCCTCGGCCTCATCCACCTAATCTGTCATTTATTTTTGTTTTGATGATAATTTGAGCCAGCCTCCAAAAGTAAATAACCTGTCCTGTGAATTTTTTTTTTCTCTCTCACACAACACTCTCCAGACACGAACTGCACTAAAGTATGTTGGTTGCCTTTACATTAGAATAATATTTAATATAATCTAGATATGAAATGGAATAAATAGCATTCAATACAAAATGAATATGTCTCATCTATTAAAATCAAGTTTTATGTGATAAAATATTTGCTTTGTTGTGCATTAGAACCACATCAGGCATTTAGTACAAAATAATTTATTGAAGCATCCAGATACTTCACCACGTGACAGCAGCTAGGCTCCTGATTGGTTAACGCGGCGCGAATTGACGCCAAAGTTCAGATTTTTCAACTCGGGCGGCAGACGCCAATTCGCGTCAAACGCGTGAATGCACAAAAGCACTCAATAAAATCATGCGCGCGGAACGCGTCAGACGCTCGAACTTGCCGCGCAAATGAGGCGTATTCGCATCTACCGCGCCGCGCTCTACGCCTCATTCGCGCCGCAGGAATTTTTTACGCGCGTAACGCGTCTTTGCATTGAATTAACAATGAAATCACTCGCGCCAGACGCTCTATTCTCGTCTGGTGTGAACGCACCATGATGTTTTCTCTGCAGACCTCTACGCCTGCGATGTAACGCCACATTTTTGTTTGAAGGTGTGCCTCCTCTAAAAGTGTCCGCCGTCCGGGTGAAACAGTATGCTATTTTTATTTACCCGCCACGGTGGCCGGTAGGTGAAGCGAGTTTACCCGCCACAACACAAAATCACCCGCATTTGGCTGGTGGCGGGTGCTAATTTCCATCCCTGGTGTGCAGTTTAGTGTAGTGTGCAGTATAGTATAGTGTGCAGTATAGTGTAATGTTGTGTGCAGTATAGTGTAGTGTGCAGTATAGTGTAGTGTGTAGTCTAGTGTGCAGTATAGTGTGTAGTGTGCAGTATAGTGTAGTGTGCAGTGTAGTGTGCAGTATAGTGTGTAGTGTGCAGTATAGTATGGTAGTGTAGTATAGTGTGCAGTGTAGTGTGTACTGTGTAGTATAGTGTAGTGTGCAGTATAGTGTAGTATAGTGTGTAGTTTAGTATAGTGTAGTGTGCAATATGCAGTGTAGTATGCAGTGTGTAGTGAGTAGTGTGATGTAGTACATTAGTTTAGTGTGCAATATGCAGTGTAGTATGCAGTGTGCCGTGTAGTGTAGTACAGTATAGTTTAGTGTGCAGTGTAGTATAGTGTAATGTGCAGTATGTAGTGTAGTATATTGTGCAGTATAGTGAAGTGTAGTATAGACTATAGTATAGTGTAGAATAGTATAATGTAGTGTAGTATAGTATATAGTGTGCAGTATAGTGGAGTAAAGTGTAGTGTAGTAAAGTGTGCAGTATAGTGTAGTAGTGTATAGCATAGTGTGTATTAATGTGTATTATAGTCTAGTGTAGTATAGTGTAGTAGTGTGTAGTGTGCAGTACCTGGCCGCTCTCTCTCTGGCGCTGCTCGGCACGTTAATGCGCAGCTGCGGCTGATTGGAGCTCCGCGTCCCGTTGCGCGTCTCCATGATCAGTGATCCTCAGACTCAGAGCTCCGGGACAGCGGGACACCGGGACTCAGACCTCAGGCTTAGAGCTCCGGGACACCGGGACTCACACCTCAGACTTAGAGCTCTGGGACACCGGGACTCCGGGACTCCATTCACAGCAGGTCCGCGGCGCTCATGGACACGGCTGATTCCCTTCGCTCAAGACGCGGACGACTCTCTCCCGCGCGTCACGCAAGCCAAACTTTTCCCACGCCACAGTAATGGCTCCTTCTCTTCTCCCGCGGGATCGGATCAACCTGTCGCGCGCCGGCAATAACAGCCGCGCGGAGCAACAACACTCCAACTTTATCAGAGCACTCTTGTAGTTGGTGTTTTAAACGCGCGTTTTTTCGCCGGGCGCGCGCATCATCCACGCCGAACACTTTGCCAAGCAACACGATTAATTTCTCCAGGGAGCTCAAGGGCGCACGTCAATCAATCCTAGGGGCGGGACTATGCACTCAAAGACCACGCCCCCCGCCACGCAATCCTTCTCACCCCAGTGCAGAGGGGGCGGGGCTTTGTGCGCGACGGTCACGCCTCTTCGTCACGAAATGTTTTGAGGAAAATTTAGAGCGACTAAAACAAAGACTCTTGTGTGAGTTTGTCTGTAACAGCAGCTCCCGCGTGAGAGAACAGGTGACTGCAAGTTCACTGACAGAAAAGACCACGGATGTATTACCTCAATCAGTTTTTAATCTTTTAGACCCCAAAATATCATCATCATCGCCAGATATCCTTTATAAACACTGAAAAATGAATATAATAAATCTAAAATTAATTTATATTAGGTTATATTCTTATATTTTTTTCTATTTACTATATAATGTACTACATGTATTATTTATTTATATTATTCGAAATTATTTCTATTTTTTTAATTTAATTTAATACAATATATTAATAACTAACTAATCATTTTTATTAATTTATTTTAATGTAATTTATTTACCATTTACTTTCTTTCTTTCTTTTTTTTTTTTACATGTTTTACATGTATTGGACTCTTTAAAGGGTCATGAACCCCCTTTCAGCTCAAGTCTAGCTCACAATCTTTTTGAAAAATGAAACTGAAATGTGCGTGGATGCCTGTGAGAAGAAGGGAGGGAGGAGTGGGTGTGGCACTGCAGGGGAGGGGAGGGCGCCATCACTGTCAACGCCAGGGTCCCATGCATATCGACGGGCACTAAAGAGCAGTGGTAAAACGTGAGGAAATGCTAGATTTTTTTTATAGCTGGCAAAGTTAAAGTCTTATGAAATACACTGACACTTTATTATTGTTCTTTCAAAAGTAACTGAATGCCCTGCTACATATATTAGCCTACAGTAATCGTAATTCTATTTAAAACATATTAATGTAGGCTACATGTATCATTATAATGTCATTATAAAATATATAGTTGTTTATATAGACACTATAAATGCATATATTTGAAAATGATTAATTTTCCGCTTAAAAAAACCCGTTCCATGCATAGCCTAGATCTACGCGCCCACTGAACCCCCATAATAAAGATGGCTCTGTGGAGGTGGAGGACTTCTCATTTTAGACACACACACACATACCTCTGAAGGGATAGAAAAGTCCTCGGGACTTGGTACCGCATCACTCGCAAGACGCAACCTGCATTGGTTGTCAACAAGGTGAAGTCCACCATTCTCCAATTCTCGAAGCTCTCTTGAGAAAAATGTTTGCGGCACACACTATAGTTTAGATGTGTCCGCCCAGAGCCAGAGTCCAGCCCTGCCCGGGCAGCATCGCGGGGAAACATATTCAACCCACTTGGACTTTTGCACCACGAAAACAAACAATTGCGTCCCATGATTGCCTCTCTCCTCTACTGCGCGATATCACAGTTTGACATGTCTGTTATTGGAAAGATCCACGTGATGTCATGATTTTAAAGCAGCAGTCCGCAGTTTTCCCTCTTTGTCGCCATCTCTGTTCGAAATCTGCAATTGCAGTTATTCGCGGAATTATCAACTTTACGTGAGTTGTAGGCCTACTTCAACACCCTCGACAGCGCGGATGAACACAGTGTGTGAGGAGAGTGTGAGGCTGTCAGTCACCGCGCCGGTGTGGATACTGGCGTTCGCAATCACAGATTATTCTTTTTGAAAGTATGACCAACATAATAATTTTCACCGGAAAATGTCCTCTGAACAAGAAACATCCACTTTTGTTCTGGTTCTGACATTGCAGTAAATCGCGCTGAATCTCTTATTTATCATATCACGCAAATCCGTGCAAATTATACTTTGTTCTCAAATTGTTAATGTTAACAACGTCAGCATTGCGTGACTACATGGAATGTCCTTCCGATATGTATCCGTGTCTCCGCATGGGCCGGTTGCAGTCTCTTCTTTATGTAGCCGCTCCGAAGTCCGAACGAAGTCTTTTGCGTTTTACAGCGGGCGAGTCTGCTGCCACTGGTGATCGTCGTTTGAACCTTTTTGGATCCGCCATCAAATTGATAAGTTTGATTATATCAAGCGCTGTGAGAAAAGGCTATAAATCTCCACCTCCAGCATCCTCACACGCAATATAGCCTACTAGCCGAGACTCCTTCTTTATGTGTACAGATGTGTGTGTACAGATGTGTGTGTGCAGATGTGTGTGTGCAGATGTGTGTGTACAGATGTGTGTGTACAGATGTGTGTGTACAGATGTGTGTGTGCAGATGTGTGTGTTCAGATGTGTTTGTGCAGATGTGTGTGTACAGATGTGTGTGTGCAGATGTGTGTGTGCAGATGTGTGTGTGCAGATGTGTGTGTACAGATGTGTGTGTGCAGATGTGTGTGTACAGATGTGTGTGTGCAGATGTGTGTGTACAGATGTGTGTGTGCAGATGTGTGTGTACAGATGTGTGTGTGCAGATGTGTGTGTACAGATGTGTGTGTACAGATGTGTGTGTGCAGATGTGTGTGTACAGATGTGTGTGTGCAGATGTGTGTGTACAGATGTGTGTGTGCAGATGTGTGTGTACAGATGTGTGTGTACAGATATGTGTGTGCAGATGTGTGTGTACAGATATGTGTGTGCAGATGTGTGTGTACAGATGTGTGTGTGCAGATGTGTGTGTACAGATGTGTGTGTACAGATGTGTGTGTGCAGATGTGTGTGTGCAGATGTGTGTGTACAGATGTGTGTGTACAGATGTGTGTGTGCAGATGTGTGTGTGCAGATGTGTGTGTACAGATGTGTGTGTACAGATGTGTGTGTGCAGATCAGTGATGCGCGGGTCAATGTATAAACAACCCGCACTCGACCGACGTTTTCAACTAACCCGCCCGCAACTCGGACCGCAAAAAAAAGAAAGAAAATATTGTACCCGACCCGCTTCCTGACCCGCTTCCTGACCCGCATTTTTTAAAAGTAGTAAATGCTCATCGTAGCGTCATTGGGCCATTAGACGTGTAACACACATGTGTAAATAGCATTGCAAGAAGTAGGCTAATTGTTTATTAATAAACATGAAGTTGACGTTGCTGACTCGCGATCTTCGCTGTAGTGAATGCGCCAGAGAGAAATGCACATTTCATACAGATAAGCAGAGAGCAGTCCGTTTTCAAGTAGACAAGTAGACATTTCAATATAGATATATATTTCAGGTCTGTGAAGTAGGCTACCTTATACGCTGAGTTTCGGTTAATTTATGAGACGCGCTCCAGTTCACGCGCCGGCGCCTCCGTCCCGTGATTATCTTGTCTGCTATATTTACTTCTTATTTATTAAATCCAGGCAATTGGTTGATGAAACATTGATTAAAAATAAGATACAATTAGTACAAATCGAAATTCACTTTAAAGAAAGGCTTTGTGTCTTCTGTTTGAGGTCTCTGTGAAAGTTTTAAATCAGTCTTTTAGCGCCGCTTCAGAGCGGTCGCGTCCTTACATTGTTTTTTCCTCATTCATGCGAACGCGAAAAATAAAATAAAATGAATATTTTATGTTCTGTGGAGAGCCAACCCTTCTTCATCCGGTTGGTAGTATTACTTTTGATTTACGCAGTGTAATTCACAGAATTACAAAAAATAGCCTATATATTGCCTCCTAAAAGTTAAATATTTGTTTTGTCACGCATGAATGCGTGTGTAGCTGATTTCCCTCATATAAATATAAAACACATGTGTAGACTGATATGTTTCTAATGTCTGGACTCCTTTAAGGGGGTATGGATAAACAGATGTTTCAATATATTGGTAGCCTATTAAATGCATTTTCTGAGAATTTATAGGCCTATTTCAAGTTTTGATTGCAAATGTCACGTCCATAACGCTGGAATGCCCCAATTTTAAATAATTTATCCTCAACTAGTTTTGTTGTGTTGGTCTACGTATTTTATAATGTTAACTTCAAAATTCAAATAATACTAATATAATTTAAAGATGTGGTAGCATTGGATCTGGACGGGAAGGATAACTCTTGGAGTTGGAAGGGGTGTGTCGCGATTCTGCAGGTTCGTGGATCTGAGTGTCGTGATTTCGGTTTCATATCGCATATCGTTACAGCCTTAGAATGGTAAGTTCTACTTAGCTATTTTGGTGAAAGTAACTCAAAAGTAATACAGGAGTAATGTAACACACAATTCTGAGACAGTAATATTGTAAGGTAATTATACTTTTAAATAACCTTTTAAATAAGTAGCCTAACAAGTAATGTATAATGTATTACAGTTCGGAAATAACTTGCACAACACTGCACATGGCAAAGCCAGCACTTTGGTCATCATCTTTCATTATTTCGGCAAATGTCTCCCACACTTTGCTCTTTCTTTTTGTGTATTTGCGGAGCTTCCACTCCCAGTCTTCAGCTGTCCTCTCTCCGCCTCCATCTCTACCTGCAGACTGAGCTCGTGCCTCATCTTCGTGCCAATAAAGTGTAGCCCTGTATTTCATAGAAAATTGTGTCTAGTAGCTACTATATCAATTACAAAGGTTTTCTTTATTTCAAACGACCCGACCGACCGCGACCCGAATATCATTAAAAATATTTTTGGATGACTCGTGACCGCAGGCACCCGC